TACATACATGCATACACCACATACATTACATACATACATATCATACATACATACATACATCTATACATACATACATACATACATACATACATACATACATACATACATACATACATACATTACGTACATACATAATACATTACATACATACATACATACATACATACATACATACATACATACATACATACATACATACATACATACATACATACATACATACATACATACATACATACCTACATACATTACATACATACATACATACATACATACATACATACATACATACATTACATACATACATACATACATACATACATACATACATACATACATTACATACCTACATAAATACAGACATGCATACCTACATAAATACATACATACCTACCTACATACATACATTACATACCTACATAAATACATACTTGCATACACACATACATACATTCATACTTACATACATACATGCATTACATTGCATACATACAAACACATACATACATACATACATAAATACATGACGTTTCGCTATATTACGTTGCATGACATTGCATACAAACGTACATACATACATAACATACATACATACCTACCTACATTACACACATACATACATACATACATACATACATACATACATACATACATACATTACATACATAAATTACATTACATTACATTACACTACATTACATTACATTACATTACATACATACATTACATACATACATACATAACATACATACATACATAAATACCTACATACATACATACATACCATTACATTACATTACATTACATTACATTACATTACATTACATTACATTACATTACATTACATTACATTACATTACATACATAACATACATACATACATAGATAAATGCCTACATACATACATACATACATACCATTACATTACATTGCATTACATTACATTACAATACATACATACATAACATTACATTACATACCTACATGCATACATACATACATACCTACCTACATACATACATTACATACCTACATTACATACATACACACATACACACATTACATACATACATGCATAACATACATACATACATACCTACATTACATACATACATACATGCATACATTCATTACATTACATTACATTACATTACGTTACGTTACGTCACATTACATATATACATTACATACATACATACATACATACATACATACATACATACATACATACATACATACATACATACATACATACATACATACATACATTACAACATTACATACATACATACATACATACATACATACATACATTACATTACATACATACATTACATACATACATACATTACATACATACATACATACATACATACATACATACATACATACATACATACATACAATACAATACAATACAATACATACATTACATACATTACATACATTACATACATTACATACATACACACATACATACATACATACATACATACATACATACATACATTACATACATACATACATACATTACATTACATTACATTACATTACATTACATTACATTACATAACTACATAAACACAGACATGCATACCAACATAAATAGATACATACATACATACTTTACATAACATAACATACATACATACATACTTACTTTACATTACCTTACATTGCATTACATTAGATTACATTACGCTGCATTACATTAAATTATCTCACATTACATGATATTACATTACATTACATACACACCCATACATACATACATACATACATACATACATACATTACATTACATTACATTATATTACATTACATTACATTGCATTGCATTGCATTGCATTGCATTGCATTGCATTACATACATGCATTACATACAAACACTCATAACTTCCACAAGACCATTCAACAAAGGCAACACAACCTCCCTCTAACCATTGCGGCTTGATGGGGTCACCCAAATTATCCGGGAGAATGGGCAACAGGTGTTGGCCCCGTGCCCAGCGAGCCGCTGGATTTGGGCGCCCGGCGGGGACTTGGATGGTGTCGCTGTCCAGCAGCCAAGGCTTCATGGCCTTGATGTGGGCAGTCGGGGTTTGGAGGATTTGTGGCACTGTTTGGAGGCCTTGGTGGCTGTTGGCTTGCTTCTTCTGCTTTGTTTTGTGTGTTGTTTTTGTTTTGTGTTTTCTAGCTTTCTTTTTTTTGCTTTTGCTTTTCTGGCTTGCTTATTTTGCATCGTTTTGGGTGATTTTTTGTTTTGTTTGCTTGGTTTTGCTTTGGATGTTATTGTGCTTGTTTTGCTTTGTTTGTTTTGTTCTGTTTTGGGTGTTGTTGTTCTGCTTTGGATGCTGTTGTTGGGTTTGTTTGGCATTGGATTGAATTTTTGCTGATTTGTTTGCTTGCTTCTTTTGGACCAAAAGGGAAACCTGAAGTCCATTCATTGTGGAAAGGGAATCCTCATGTGGGGTCCAAGTCCCAACTTTGACACAAACCCCAAAAGCACCTAGCCCACATGCGGATGGAAAACTGACAATGTCCCAGTCCCCGAAATCGCCTTCAATAGAAGAAGTTCGTCATGCCTCGTTTCATGAAAACAATCAATGTCAAGTTCAGGAAGTCTTCATTTCAAGCGCAAACATTTCCAAATTGCTCCCATGTTTTTAAAACAAGGGGGGCACTGTTGTGGGCCAACTTCTGCTTGGGTTCCTTCACGCGGATCACTCCCCGTCAACCGCTTTTTCTTGGCCCCCGGCACCGTTGTAGTGCAAAAGCTTGGCCGAGTTGCTGCAGACCACCACCTGCAAGAGGTAGAACATTTTTGGCTCGGCTCTCTGCGCTCGGGGCGTCTCCAGGGAGAAGCCCAAGTGTTGGAAAACGTGTCACTCTAAACCAGGCCATCCTACACCTTCTCTGGCCCAACCAAGCCGCACTCCAAAAACGTTGAAAAAGTGCGACTTTTTTCATCGTTCTGCGATTCAACCAGACTTGGCCCCACTGATCTCATTGACATGAAGCCAATGAACGACCTGCTTGTGCCCCTGATGTGCGCTGGGGCTGGCGCATAGGGAACAATGCCCCAGGAGGTAGACTCAACCTGGATGCGCAGCAAATGATGCCAACCCATGCCAAACACACCTTGTCTCCGACACCCATCATGGTGTGCACACCGGACCTGGTTCAATGCTTCAAGTAGCCTTGCCTCAATCCAAGGCTCCCACCCTCAGAACTTCAAGATGCTCATCCATGAACCTGCCACGAGCTCCAGGCTGAAACTTGCAGTTGGCCGGGTGAAGTGAGAGTTTCTCATGTGGACGCACCACTGAAATGCCCTGGCCAGCTCCCTGAACCAAAGCTGGCCCCAACAACGCATTGACCCGTCAGCCTTCTCCTTCAGTTCCTCAAACCTCTGGGGGTCTTTGCGCATATCTCTTGCACGCAGTTGCTCTGTTCTCACCCCAAGGTGTTGCAAACTAGGAACCGGAGATCGTCGCAACCAGTGGGTTCTGAGGTTCCACCCCTGCATTCCTTAGCCTAGTTGCACAGTGATACTGACTGGGTGTGTACTTGACTGGCAGCGGAGAAATATGGGTGCGTCTTATTTGGAGGGCACACTTTTGAGTCGTGTTAAAGGGCAAGCGGAAGGGAAGCCACAATTCTTGGGTCCCCAAACATACCGCACTCGTTCTTAGAAAGCCCCGGGGCTTCTCACTCGAAACCGATCTCGACGGCGCGTAGCGTGCCCTAGGGCCCGCAGCTCTTTGACCTGGCGATGGAAAGTGTCTCAGAAGGAAAACTAAAAATGCTGTGCTTCCATTAGGTTTCTTTTGGTTTCCTGTTGGTGTACTTTGGCTTGCTGTTTCCAAGCGAAAAACCCAAAAAGGGCCAAATGACTGGTAAACTTGTTTTGCATAGGTCTGAAGACGTGGGGGGACACATGTTCCAATCTACAGGCTTGCGAAAGAATTGTGAGCAGCGCAGGCAGCTTTCTTCATGTTGAAGCTCGATGAGCGTCATTTGAGATGGAGATAATGTCGGCCCCAGACTTATTCAGAGTCTTGCGATTAAGAGTGGCCCCACAAGTGAAGGATTCCTTTTCTAATGGAACAACCCCTATCAATCGGCTGTGTTGGGTTGACTGTTAAACCAGGGTTCCCTTTAGGGCACATATTTGGCAAGTATGTTGCCTGTCGAGTCAGCAAACCTGCACGTGGATGCCAGGAATTGGTGTTAAACCACAGCAAGGCAAATGCCAACACCAGGGCTTGCAGGTAATCCAAGCCAAGTAGGGTACTGGCAAGTGATGCCAGCAGCGCGGGCCAAACACCAAACCGCGAATACACGAAGCTAAACCGCTTTCGTTCTTTTTCTGAGAGTTGCGCATTCCCACAAAGTTGAAAAGCCTTCTTTGCCTAAGCAAAGTGCAAGTTGCTTGCCACGGGTTTTCACATCTCCAGAGCCGCGCTCAAGTTGAGCTCCAGCCGTTGCCCCAGGTTTCCCTCCAACCCGCGCCTCTGATGCACCCATGGAATGCCGGCCCAAGCTGTTGCAGTTCCAATCCTCAGCTCGGGAGATGGCCGAGTGGCTCGCAGGTTTGCCGCAAGCGAAGTGGCACAAAGCGGGGCCAGCCAGGCTCCTTGCGGCCTGAGTTTCTCATATACTCCGGGTTCCAAACATCCAAGCGGGTACAGCCCTTTCTTTCTGCGATTCCTTTTCGGTTTTGTCGGTCAGGTGTAAGGTCGGCTAGAAGTAGTGTAGGGCTTGCGTCAGAGCAGGCTTTCGCTTGGTTCAGGGTTGGGGTTGAGGTTGGTCAAGGGTGGGATTGGGGTGCTGTACGACTTGTCTGGTTTCATGAGTGTTTAAGGTGGAAAAGGGTATTCAGGGTTGCTCTCGGATTTTTGTCCAGGGAGCGTAGGGCAGGTGCTTCCTTGTCGTCGTAGAACAACACATAATCTATCGAGGGCAAAGCCGTGAACGTATATGGCAACCCTTCTGGAGGGTTTTGAAGGTGCACGATCGCCATATCTTGCAATCGCCCTTCCAGGGTCCGTTTCTGCATTCAGCCACTTGTCATGCAGTGCCATGTCATCTTCTATATCCCAGCTTGTGCCCAAAAATACAAACACTTCTTCCAGAGTACAAAACGAAGGCTGCCTAATCGTCCCTTCGGACAGCAACAACATATAAAAGGAGATCCCAGTTTGATGTCAGCGCATGAGCCGCTGGGAGCTGTGCCAAAATATGCCAAATGAGGAACTACAAAAGCGAAGCTGACTGTTTGCCAACAAGTAGGCCATTTTGGTGTGTTGGAAAATGAAGAGCCACATATTCATGGTGGGCTTGCTTGTGTTTCCCTTTCTACCTATCTGAAAGAAAGTCCTCCGAGGGCTGGTCTTAAAATAAGGCCCCCACACACAAAATTTTGATTTCCACGCTCCAAACGGGAAAAAAACACTTCAGAAAGGGAACCAATGCCATGGATTTATGGCCCTCGCCCTCCCTGCACACCAACTCCAAGCCACATCCGCCAGGTGCGTGTAATTGCCGTTGATGGCCAGCAGCCAAGGAGGCTGGGACATGCCACCCACCTCAAAGGGAGCTGTGTCTAGTCTCTTTTCCCGTTTTCTTGGATAGAGAGTTTTACCTTAGGACACAGATAGCTATAGACTGGATGGTACTTTTTTGGGACGTGAACGAAGGGGGGGGGCGGGAGCACCAAAATCTGCAAGAAGCAACAAATGGGGGTTGATCAATATCCCTGACCATGGGTAACTTTCCCATTTACTGGGACATATAATCTTTTTAGTGGTTTTCCCAGTGGTCATCCCATGCAAAGGGCCTTTTGATCAACCCCAAATAAAAAACCACCGAGGGTCTGGGACGACTTCCGTTCGTCACCGATCAATCTTTCTTCAGCCCCCTCCTTCGTGCGGGCGAACTAATTCGCCTTGCGGCAGGCTAATGTAAGATGATTGGTGACAAGTTGGTGCCCCAGTCCATGATCCTGGTCAGATGGTTGAAAGGCACGTTTGGTATGGTCAGCACGGTTTCTATGTGACAATCGCTGAGGCTGAGCAGAAGGGCCGGGCCGGCTTGGTTCGGTGAACAAAAACAACACTGGACAACCGGGCCCTTGAAAAACAACAGCTGGGGGGATCTGGGTGACCGTGCCAAATTCAAAACCTCAGGGTCCACGTGAAGGGGTGAGAGAGGGATGGAGGGTACGCAGAAGGGATGCAAACCCTTCCCGCACTGACGCGCCAGGCCCAAAGGTCGTCTTCAGCAGTTCGGTACTGCTCCTGGGATGTGCTCAGGCTGACCCAGGAACAGCTGGCCATGCAACAAAGATGCCCGCAAAGCAAGAAGAACAGAACAACCCTATTGTGACCCATCGGACGGGATATCCGCAACCTTATCTCTTAAATGCTGGGGAACTTCTGTTAAACACCCTCCCCAAACATGTTCACTTTAGTAGATCCAGATCCAGTAAAACGTGGATTCAAGTGACAAACCGCAACCCAACGACGCACCACGTTGAACTGGGCTAAGCTCATGGCAAGCCACCCCTCGATAGACTCCGTCAACCTCATGGAGGCCCAAGCTCGCACCTCGGTGGACCCTGTTGCGCGTCACAGCCTTATGTTCCAAAACATGTGAGCCCCGTGTCTGAAACTTTCGCTCGGTCTGCACGGCTGAATGATACAGGCCCGATGATTTGCAGCTGAACCAGTTTAGCGGGGATTTTTGACTTCCATTCCCAAGGAGCCCCGCAAAGGCCGTGGCTTGCCTACCAAACGCCAAGCCCAGGGCATCAATCAGCAGCAGCCCACGGTTGGCGATACACGCGTCGGGGTCGATCCTTGGTCAGAAGTGGCTCGAGCCGTGTTGGGCCGCACCGCTTCCAAGCGCTGGCCCTACCAGCTGAGGCGGCCGCCCTTCGTGGCCAAGCTCCTTCAAGAGCTTGAAGTTAATATATGTCGACAACCTGAGGGCCGCGAGCAGGGACCTCTGGTCGAGGAACCCGGCAGATTGTCCGTTCAGGCAGCACCCCCACGCATGGGGAACTTCATTGTCCGCAGGAACTTTTTGAACAGAAAGGACTTGCACTGAAGGGCATACTTCCTCTTCCGTCTTTTCCCCCGAGGCCGAGATAGGGAGCCCTGGGCGCGCAGCTTCTGATTGCAGTATGGAACTGCAGCGCAAGGCCTGCCCTGCATGTCCATATCCTCAGGGAAGGCACCCCATACCAAGAGAACTCATGAAAGGCTTCTGGAACCCAAAAGGCGGCTTCAGAAAAAAAAGAAGAGACAAACAAAAACAACAACAACAACTCACACAACAACTGGACCTCCACTCAGGTTGCATGTTTGTGGCTGGGAGGGTCACCTTGAGCTGAACATGCACCAAGGCCGATGGTGAGAACCTCTGAGCCTCTAAACTGACCCAATCCAAGAAAGGGCCCAATGAATGTTCGCCCCTCCAACCAAGTGCGGTTTCTTGGGTCCGTTTTGGCACCCTGACAGCCTCAAACATCGGAACGCCCATGGCCAGTGATGGCCGAACTGTACTACAAGCAACTCCACGTGGCTTCGTCAGCTGCAGCTGGGACTCGCATTGGCGCTAGATCACCCGGTCCAACCGACGGCAGCCAAGTCCCAGGCATAAAGTTCAGCGAGGTCGGCCAGAATGACAATGTCGGCATCCATGTACAGCAATCTGCACAAAAATGATGGGGCCCTTTGTTGCAACTAGGGCCTTTCTGCGGACCACGGCCAGAGCCCTTGGTTGTTTTTTGAAGCGACAAGGGGCCACCACTACAACCCAGAATAATTTGTGAGGGTTTGATGGACGCCGAGCGATAAACTGAACAAGGTCGGCTTTCCAAACCTTCAGGATAGCGGGACATCCTTTTTTCCATTGACCTGTTTGCCGTGGGCAAAAAAATCACCCTGCTTTTCATCGGCAATAAGTGTTTAAGCAAGCATGTCCACAAACCGTGACTGCGATGGACACAATGTTTGAACATGTCAAGCAAGAGAACTGATTGACTAAGGCTGTTTCACATGCGCCCCTGCGAGGCAAAGCTCTCACAACAGGAATGTCACCATTCGGAGGTTGTCGCGTGTCCCTTACGAGCTTGTACAAAGCAGTCGGTGACTCAGCAAACACCGCCCAAACAAGCGAAACCCAGGGCTACCGAAGGCTTTGAAGGGGCGCAGCCTCGCTTAAATGAGCCTTGGACCCCTGGTGCAACGGACCGGCGCCTGCGACTTTGGCTGCTGAAGGTGTAAGATGCCGCCCTCGAACGCGGTGTTAAACCCACACGACCAGGCATGTTGCAAATGTATGGAAGTGAAGGGACCCCGCAAGTAGTTTGCGAAGGAAATGGGGATGGTCTGCCGATCTTGGGTTGCCAAGCGTCGGCATTTGTCTGAAACTTGGGCCCTTTTTTTGGTAGCGTTGAAAGGGAAACCAAAAGGAAATCCACTATTTTGAGGGTTGGCACTTGCAGCATGAGACAATTTGAATTGCGACCTGCCTTGATCCTGATCGGTCTTTACGCCGGTTTGCTGATTTGCCCGGGGCATGCTTCGTTTGAAAGAACGGCAACAAGGCCCTTCAGAGCCTTGTGTTCCAAAGCGCTGACGCTTATCTGGGAGTTGTAGCTTACTGACATCGTGGAGCCCCAGGTGGGCTTGCGCGGCTCTAGGCGCCAGGCAGGAAATTAGGAAGGTAGAACCTGGGCCACGTGCCGCACCGGAAGCCCCCAGATGCCAACAGCCAAAAAGGTTGGAGGACAACCGAGAGATGAAACCCCAAAATCAGAATGATCGCTGACAGGCCCAGTTGCGTCGCAGCGGCGCTCAGGTCCATCTCTCCCAGTAATTTTGGGTGTGTTTCACTGTGGGCAGGCGTTGCTGTGAGATGTGGCCCGTCTGGAATAAGGCCGCCTTGCCTCCTACAGTGGCCAGTTGTACTGGAGCTGCGTTGTCTGCGTCAAAGCAGGGCTAGTCATGGGGCAGCCGTACCTTCTACGTTCCCTGCTATTGGGTGGGGGGGTGGGGGTTTGGTGGTTTCTACACAAAAGGGGCTCAAGAGAAATCCGGTGATGAGCAAAACCATCCGCGTACAAGAACTGCTCCCGTTTTCTCTCTCCGCGATACCAGCAGCACCTTCTAGGCACATGGCCAGCTTTTCTTGTGCGTCTTTTGGCGCCCAGGCAAATGCCACAGAACATGTCCTGGTTGGAGGCCAAAGGAGCGGCTTTTCACCGAGAGCCAAACGGGGGGAACATACGCGTCAACCCCAAGTAGCTCTCCGCCTCTGCGGGGCCCGCGCGGAGCAAAGTTGAAGGCGCTGGCGAGGTTCTTCCGACCTGGCGGCGAGGCTCCATGCCGCGAGGCCTCCGCTAGCTCACGGCCCAAAACGCAAAATAGAGGAGCAACGCAAAGCTGAAATTTCGTGAAGCTCAAAGGCCCAACCAACTAGCAGAAAACTGAGGCAAACAGGCGGCAGGCAAGCGGATTCGAAAGCATGACTTGCATCTTACTTTCTGCAACCTCCCACACAAGCCCCAATTCGAACAAGGCCTAACAAGGTGCTTTCTGGCTAACATGGATTCCACCATTGCTGCGGGTGCTTGATAACTTGGGCAACCCACCACAAGACGGCATTGGAACTGACTAGACGCCACCAAAAACCAGAAACCAGTGCCGTCCATTTTCAGCCAAAATAACCTTGAAGGACACTGATCGATCGATTCCGTCGACCCGAAGTTTCGCCTGAGCTGGGCCGGAACTCGATGCGGCCCTGGATGGCCATCTCCAGTGCCTCGTCGGCGTGCACCTCGCATGTGTTCGAAGCGGCTGGGAGATGGAAGTGGCTTTTGCTGCACGAGCGCCTTTTGCAAGAGGAAAGCAGTCTGCCGAAACCGCAAGGGGTCTGTGCTTTATATTTTGTTTGGGGGAGGGGGGTTGCTTCTTGTCTCACACCAGGGAGCATTAGCAAGCATTTGTGCTGCATCAATTTGGGCTCAAGGTCTGTGCGATAGCTTGAAGCTAATACTCCCTGCTCTCTTGCCGAGAGAAGAAACCTTGTTGATCGCGCCTTGCAAGTTGTATCTTTCTTACCGACCTCTGCAACTCCAAGCTCGGTCACATACCCTTGGGACATAAAGCTGGTTGTAGCGGGCTCCCGGGACCCCCCAAGACTCAATAGCGGTAGCAGGGCAGGTTTTCCTTGTCAGAGATGTTATGGAGTTTGAGATAGTTTGGGTATTGTCTCGCACTTCTTCATCAGCACTTCGTGAAGGGCAGTAACAACGCCTTCCTCTGCCGTTCCAACGATCGCTGGCACATATGTTTCTTGCCTATCCAAGTTGGAACTTCTTTTGGGAGAAGACACAGCACCAGAGTACAACATGCAGAGTCCTGCATACATTGAGGCAGTACAAGAAGCAAACATGACAAGACCAAAAAGACATCTTGAGCGTGTTCAAGAGCTGCAGGCAAATGTTTGCAAACCTTCGCAAGGAGCAGCTGTTCCTGCGCACGCGCCGCAACTCCTGAGGTCCTGGATGCATCTGGCACGTCAAGGCACGCATCGACGCATCGTGCATGCAAATCAGCTTCCCACTGTCCGACAACACGATTGCGACTTCTTCCTCATTTTAGAGCGAGAACGCTTGGCCATTCGCTGCCAGAAGGTCAGCAAGAATGAGCCGCTTCCAAGGAACCAACGAAGCAGGAAGAAAAGTCTTGACCGTCTGTTGACCACTTCGACTGACGGCGACACCGGGAAATGTTGGGTCTTGGATGCAGTCTTCTCAGGGTTCCCAAAATTGTGGGGAGACAGTACTCGCCATGGGCTCACCAAACACACATTCAGGGAAACTTGGGTGGCTTCTCATTTGAACGGAGCAACTGGCTTCCTTCAGGAAAACAAACCCCAACCACCAGTTTTTTTCCCCACCGAACCACCAAGGGGGATGCTCCCAATCAGCCAGTATTTTTGGGCATTCTTCCTGGAAGTTTCTCCACCACCGAACGAACCCGGACGTGAACCCGGGCTCTTCCGCAACCGCGCGTGCGGAAGGCCTCAATGCGGATCCCCGGGAGCTGCAGCTTCGCCACCTTGGAGAAACGCCTCAGCTCGCGGCCCGGACTTGGGCTGGCCCCCAAAAACGCTCGTGGAGAGACAACGTACCCGAAGGTTGCGATTTTTTGCGGAGAAAAAGCAACAACACCTTAAACTTTTAGTGCCCCAAACCAACTAAAGTGAGAAACCGAGGGAAATTGGTTGAATACCGGCGGTTCTTTCCAGGGGGAGCAAGATGGGTGTTCATACCTTTCGTGGGGTGTTGAGGGGCTTCCCGTTTGGATGGGAACGCCCAAATTGATGGGCATTCCTGGCCTAGGGGCCTCCTCAGGCATGCCGAATACATAAACCCAGCGAGTAGCCGTTCTTTTGTTGGCTCGCTGAACAAGATCCAAAAGGGAACTTTGCATTGTTCTCTTACTGCCGTCGCGGAAGTGTGTCCAAAGTCCAAGTTTGAGCGTCTCAATGCCCGAAATGGCCAGTGGTCAACCCGCTCACCATTCCGAGCTGCACCCGGGCCCTGAAAGGCTGAACTTTTCAGCAAGGTGGGACAAAACCGCCAGTCATTGATCTGCTCAAAAAGGGAAACTCCGTGGAGATCGAGCAACCTGAGTGTGAGGGTACGACACGCAGCAACCCCGCGCCCGCAGTTTGCAAGCAAAGGCTATGCCCACGGCACTGCCAGTTCGGTGGTGGTGATGAAGTGGAACCTCATGGTGAAGAGGCAGCCACAAACTCCACATTGCGCAATCCCAACCCTTCAAAGGCCAACGGGAGGGACAGCGACCTGTCGTTTCCTCTTGCTTTCAACAAAGCACTTTTTGCTTGCTTGCTCCTTTCTTAACTTCTTCGATACATACCAAAAACAAGTAAACATGTCAAAAATGCTAGGCGCGTGTTGGGCCATCTTTTCCAAACTTCGATTTCCATTACCCATTGAGGAAAACCATTTCAAAGGAGACTAAAGAAGGTTCTTCGGGTGGGGGCCCAATCCACTTCTCTAGCATTCCCCACAAAACAAAAAAAACACATAAATCATGAACTCTAAATGGAATTGCAAACGTGATTCCCCCTAAACCTCTATCCGGGCAAATTGCCGTACCCCCAGTGAACATCCCAATCCCCACTCGACTAAAATGGGTGGTGCACCTACGCCAAAATGATGGGATCCCAAAACGGTTTTGACCCACAGCCAAATGATTGGAAGGGGAGCAAGAATTCGAATTTTAGCAGTTAAGTGGTTGGATTCCAACCACTTCACCACAACAAGCAAAACATGTACAATGTTTCCCAACAACAACCATGGAAAACCTGTAAGTTTGGGAGGTCACTCTCTGAGTTTTGGCCGAATCAGTCTCCTTTAAGGACTTCCCCCCACGTTCCACGTGGTTCGTCCACTGAGTCCCCGCTGAGCCGCGCACACGAAGCGCTCCGCCTGCTGAGAGGCCGCCACCGCGGAGCGGATGGCTACCACCGTGGGGCCTAGCCCGACATCCGTGCCAGTGGTGCTGAAGCTTTGGAGCTGGACATGAATCACCTGAGTATATATATATATATAACCACCAAAGGAATTTCTGGTTTAATCGCCTGGATGTAGAATCACCTGAATATATTTAATCACCAAGGGGTCCCTTATTTGATGCCCATGTCGGGTGCCAAGATGCCTGAAACCTTGGGTTGAGACCCCGAGTTTGGCTTCACTGAGTTGGCCACGGAGTGTTGGTTCGAGGGAAACCTGTGCGCCTGCATTCTCAGACCAAAGTCACCCGCGAAATGGTGGGCTAAAGGACAAGTACAGTTCCCTGAAACCGGCGCCCTGTTTCAGTTGGGTGCAAAAGCTCCTGTGATGGACCCCCAAGCATCAAGGGGAATGGGCTGCTATAAATGGAATGTACCTGGGCACGGGATATCCCCCACTTCCACTTTTGAAGGGGTTTGGTCCGATTTGTGGGCAATGCAAACTCCTGGCTGTTCAATTTTCCAGCCAATGGCTGTGTGCCTCACAAAGTCTTGACCGCTTTGCATGAGCGACTTAGGCTTGAATTCATGAGACCGCGTAATTCTCCCCCCGCCCCAGCAAGCAGGCATTGGTAAGCCTCAGCGACACGGCAATAAGAATTGCGGGTTCCAGCTTTGTGAGTCATGACTGAATGTGGATAAAAGCTCAAAAGCCCACAAGGCCCAAAGCTCAACTTTCCTTGGCCCAAGGATCCGGCTGAGTTTCACGGAAGCGATCAACTTGCATTACTTCTCAAGCCGGGCTCTTCCAGCCGGATTGGCTCGAAAGGTCGACGTCAGCTTCATTCGCAAACGATCCGCTCCAACACTTCCTGCCAGTACCATTGCAAAGCATTTCATTCCTAAGTTCAGCGTCAGAAGGTACATTCCCGAATCAAGAACGCTAGGGGATGGGTGTTCAAGCAGGAAACAGGCACAAAGATAGCTACAAGAACTTCAAGCCAGTCGCAACATGTGATACCTTCTCCAGCATTCTACCAGTACCTGTCATAACTGGCAAACGCTGCGTTGCCAAGAGCTAAGATTTGCGCGGAAGTCCGGATCGTCGCTGCAAATGCAAAGATGAACTAACCTGAAGTATTGCAGGCAAAGCACAGCCCTGCAGTCTCCCAATTTCCTTGGAAACAAGGGCTTGCCTATTTTAGGTCGATCAGTTTGACTGGGGAACAAGGTGAGCAAAAGTGAGCAAGGGACACATCACGCAATAAAAAGTGCGGCCCACAATCTTCACGCGAGCAAAGAACAAGTCTGGTAAATGTCCAAGGTGCTTCAAGTTCAAGTAGTGCCATCTTCTGGTCAAAACACACCGTACTAATCAAACGGGTTGGGACCCGATTTCTGCCACTGTTCGCTGGTCAGCAGCCCAGCCCCCAAAAAGGTTGCCAAGGCCAAAAAACAGCAACATCTAAATATGTATCCAACATTGGCGCAACTTGTTGATTCAACATTCACGTCTGTGCGGGGTTCAGGATATTGCTTGACCAACTATTAACCAATCATGGCAGACTTCTTCCGCAACTGGAGCTGCTGATTTGGGTCGGCGGTTCGGAGGTTTGGGGGGTGCAAGAACCAGGAGTTCAAGTCCCAAATCCACCAAGCCAAACCGCCAAATAAGGGTTACCTGAGCTTGTTCATTTCAAGACCAACAGTGAACCCAAAACACAGATGCAAGGTCCATGCGTGTGTTTAATTTCGAAGCAAATCGGACAGGCCGGATGTCACCCGAATGGCTATGATGTTCCATCGGGAGTCCCCCGAGAAGCGGTTGGTGCACATAACGTCCCACCTGAAAATGACAAAGCACACCCACACAATGATCAATGCTCTGGCTCTAACCGGCAGAAAATCATATCCCTGCAGCTTCAAACGACTAGAAAAAAGTAGGTGTTTTGGTCATTGTATTGCTTTTGCCTGTTTCGTACCGTTTTTACCGCAAAACGACTAAGACGCCTAGAAATTTGAATTATTGGGTGCTTCCTTCTTGCACAGGGCTTTCTCTCTCATTCAGCTTGATATTGCCCACTACACCAGATGTTCGAATCTTCGGAAACTTCTAAACACTTCGAATCCTTCCCTTCAATCCTAGCTGTGCGGGGCAGTGGTGCGCAAATCGGAGCAAGTTTAGTCTAAACATGCTTCGAGTGAGAAACGCACTTTGTTCGTACCACTTTTGGCCGCAAAACGAGCGCAAAAACCCGCAAAACGCCCGCAAAAACCCGCAAACGAGCGCAAATCCCAAAAAGTGGGTCAATTGGGGTTGTTTCATGCACTGCCCGCTCAAAAGCATGCCCTGATTGGGCACCGATGTAGGGTCATGCTTGCAACCGGAAATGCAAGCACCGAGAAAGGAAACTATATTGATATGAGGTCAGATCTTGTTGGCTCAAATATCCTCCCAAACGGCCAGCAGCACGGTAGACGCCGGCCTTCGTACTAGTTTTCCAGCGGTTCGTACTAGAACCCCCAGTTTTCCTCCAATCGTACCCATTACCCAAAACGCCCAGAAATTTCTGGGTGTTTGAATCTCCAGGTCCAAATGTCAGCACGAAACCGAGGCTCTGGCAAGTCTTCGTGGGATGAAGAGTCCTAGCCGCAAGCAGCTACTTGTGCCACTGGTCAAAAATAACAGGAAGGTCAAAACGGGCTTCACTTACAAAGTGTGATTTTTCGCACGCTAACTCGCTGACACCCAAGCATGATTCTCACTGACTTTCTTCACGCACAGGCTCCCAACCGGCCTACACGTTGCATGTAGTCCCTCGCTTCATGGGCCCTATTTACACAAATGCAAGGACAGTTTCAAAGCTTTGCAGTCCTGCCCCAGTCCCAGGGTGGCTTCTTGCCGCCTCAGGCAGCAAAATCAATCCAGCTAAGCTTACTGGTTACGCATAGGCACATGACAGCATATGAGTAAGTTAATGAATGCATCTATGCACACCACTGGATTGTATACATAAATGCTTATGTGTATGTGTGTTTTGTGTGTCCCTTTGGGGGCCGTCACATCTCGAACACGCCGCGCCGCACCCCTTGGCTCTCGGCGCCGGCCGGTGCGGGGTCGGGGATTGCGGCTGCTGCGACTGTTGCTGCGACAGCTGCAGGAAGGTGAGCCACACCTCGTACGATTCTCCCCGATCTCTCGAGCGTCCCACGAACCCAAGAAAGACACGGATGGGATGGGACAAAAGGATGCACCAAGAACACCTTCTGCCCGGATGGCCCGCAAACCTGGATGGGTTCTAATGTAGCCCAGCAATTCGCCACTGATAAGAGATATGATCTCAGTGCTGGGCAGAGAGCAGCGTGATCGTCGTCACGGCCTGCGCTGCACACATTGCGGCAGTTCAGCCACACAAGGGCGCCGAACAATTTGAGGGCACATGGGATGATTCAATCATTCTGAGCCAAAGGCAACAACATCCTTTTGAACAGTGGCCTTATCCCAAGTTTAGATCACACACTTGATTCAAGTGCAGTCCATTGGGGCTGAGCCGTTCCCCAAGCAACTGCATCAGACAGGCGGAGAGGGAGAGGTAGCCCCACATGCAAAGGGTTGTCATGTGAGCAGAAAGCCCAAGCTCATGAGGAATAAGCCGTGTCCATTTTGTTCGAAACCAGGATGAAAGGAATTGGCAACGAAGCATTGATCGACAGACTGAGGCTTCGGCGAGAACCGTCCATCGCAACCGCATTGAGTTTACCCATGCGCCGGCTGAGGCAAGACCTACATGAAGGGGACAATGGTCTGCGTTCAAGCCTGGCACAGCCTGATGCCAATATTGCAGTTGGTGTGGCTAGTGCTCTGCTTGTTAATTTCGTTGGCGGACTGTGTCAATTCTAGATCTTTCTTGTTTGTGGCTTTAAAGAACATTGGCTATTCGCTTGATCCTGCGATCCAACTTGCATTTGACAACCTTTTGGCTACTGTCGTTGCCGCGTGCGTCCCAGCAAAGAAAAACAACACGAATCCACTTACCGCGCAAGCCTGATCGATCGCCTGGGTGTTGAACCAGGAAATGCACGGTCAGCCAAACTGAGCTTTGCTTGTAGCTGCAAATCACTCTTCGGATAGATCTTGAGCCAGAGTGGCGCAGAAAAATGGCCATGGCTTCTGTAGCTGGAATAGAGTCATAACCTCTGTCTGCCAAACGGGAAACTACCATCGCACCTGCCCGCATTGTCTCCTGATTCTTGGCCGGCAAGCTGTTCTCTGGTCGCTGGACAAACCTTTAGCCGGTTCGCTGATGGAGGCATGGCAAAGCAGCCTCTCGCCTTTTGTGAGCAAAGCCATATGGTTCTGGGGCCCTTTGCAGCGGTCATTAAACAAAATGTTGCACCCTTCGTGAGCCGACTTTGGATCCATTGGGCTTACCAGAAAGGCCTCAACGACTCAACCCCGCCGTCCCCTTTTCATTTTGTTGGGTGATGACTTTTAGTCTGCGTGAGTCATCGCGTTCAGGCATCGCGTGAGAGCCTTGGCCGATTTCTGCCGGCAGCGTGCATAGGGCCAGCAAAAAGAGAAATCGAGGCGAATCCCGAAACTGGCGCTGCAGGCAGGCTCCCAGAAACAACCAGACAGACCACGGTTCAACAAACAAGCAAACATAGTTATTGATGGACATATGCTCTGATTCTCACTTGCTCACTTGCTCACTTGCTCACTTGCTCACTTGCTCACTTGCTCACTCACTCACTCACTCACTCACTCACTCACTCTCTCTCTCTCTCTCTCTCTCTCTCTCTCTTTCGTTAAAATCGGTGGTTACTTTGCTTACAAGTGCAAGTGCTGTAGTGTTCAAACAAACAGTCAACCAATGTAGTCTGCAGCTGCCAACCTTTTGACTCATGCGGAGTAGTAAGCTCAAGGCCTGCGGTAGTGAACATACATGCAACAAGAGTGCAAAGTGAAGCATGTAGTTTGACACGGCCCCTCAGTTAAAAGGTCTTTGTAGTACCTTTTCAACTGAAGTGCAAAACATGGATTGACAGTAGTGATGAAAACCATTGTTGTTCATCAATTCTACTGTATTGGCAAAAGTAGTGACCTGCGCTCAGTAGTTCACGCTGTTCAGGTTCCAGCTCGATGTAGGGCGCTGGACGGAAGTAGTGAAGGCAGGCACTCGTTGTAGTAGAGCAGAAGCTCAAAAATGTAGTCCCCATTTCTGGGTGCGGTAGGCTTGGACCATCTGTAGTCGACTGTCCAAGGTCGCGTAGTAGTTGGTGGTGAAAAAGGTTGTCATGTAGTTTGGAGCTCCCCGTAGTCGCTCATCATCAATCTCGGGACACGACATGTGTTGGTCGTAGTCCCGTAGAAAGCGGTGTAGTAGTGCTTTGTGGTGTTGTGTGAGGTTGGTCATTGTGAGTAGTGTGAATCCGTAGTATTGGATGCTTTTGCAGAGGATTGTAGTGATTGCTTTGTGCTGGAAGTCGTGTAGTTGGTCTCGGTTGTAAAGGTAATGGAGTAGTTCAGGTAGAAGTAGTGGCATGTGGTAATTCCAAACGTAGTTGTTCCTGAGGCTGTAGTTGTCAGTGAAGGTGGTCATGTTGTAGTTCACCTTGAAGATGGTCTGTGGCAGTGTTGTAGTCGGGAGGTAGTAGTTGTGTTGTACCGACATCATGTAGGAGATGTAGTCCCTTGTGAAGTGTAGAAATTGTCCTGAAGTGAGGTACCTCAGGAGTAGTGGTTGTTCAATCTGGAGTTGGATGATGACGTAGTTGGTGTTGTCGCCAGTTGTAGTGTGGAGTGAAGTTGTGTGGTAGTAGTGGACGTTGGCTGCTTCAGGTAGTGAAATGCTGAGCAGTGTGGAATTGTAGTGTGGCATCCGAAGATCTCCAGGGATGCAGTGAATGGGTCGTGTGTAGTCCAGTTGTGCCAGTGGAGTAGCTTGTTGTTGTGAGAGTAGTTGATACTCTTCAAGTGTAAATGCAGTGAAAAATTGAGTGTAGGGAATGTTGTCGGGCAGTGGTGGTGCAGTGGTTGTCTGGTGCTCAGTGATGTGTAGTTGGTCCATCACTGTGGTCGGGTTGTAGTAGACGGTGTTGCCGGGCGTAGAATGGTTGAAGTGGTAGTTGGAGTCGTTGTAGGTTTGAGGTGGTGGAGTTCCATGGTCACCGGAGTCTGTAGTGACCGCCACCTCAGGTGTAGTCGCCCTGTCGGGCGTAGTGGCGTCTCCCATCGTAGCATCTGCAGTAGATGGAGCGGCCATGGCTGCAGTGGAATGCAAAATGTAGTGAAACGGGGCAAAACAAATGAGCCTAAGTAGTTGCTACCAGGCAGTCGGCGAATGCAGACATGTAAAACAAACAACTGTAGTGTTGACTCAAGCCGCCAAAAGTGCAAGTGAAAGTACATGTAGTTACTGTTACTTACATACCAAAAGTGTCGTGTTACATGTAGCTACTTACATACATGAAATGTCCAAAGTCGTTGTTGTTGTTGTGAAACTGCTGTGCTGGTCGTTCGTAGTGCTAGATGCGTATTCCAATGCTCTGGATGAGCCTGTGTAGTGTTTCTTTGCTGATGTATTTGGTAAACAAATCTGCGCTGTTGTGGAGTGTGTTGATCTTAAGGATTCTGATGATGTCGTGCTTGATGAGGTCTTGTGTGTAGAGGAATTTGAGGTCGATGTGTTTTGCTCGTTTGCTAGTGCCTTGTCGTGTGGCAATGCTCTTGCCTGCTGTGGAGTCTGTGTGGATGCGTAGGTTTAGCTTGCTGCAAATGTTGGTTTCAAGTAGGAAGTTTCTGAGGTGTAGTCCCTCATTAACTCCTGTGCAAATGGCGTAGAGTTCAGACTCTGCTGAGCTAAGTGCTATTGTAGCTTGTGTTCTGCTGCCAAATGCAACTGTTGTTCCTAGAAAGATGATGTTGAAACCTGAAGTTGATTTCCTGGTAGTAGGGCATCCTGCCCAGTCGGCATCGACATGAACGTCGAGATCCAGGATGTTGTTGGTGTTTGCTCTGAGTGTTGTTGTTGGTTCTATGGTGAATTTGTAGTGCTTGGTGCCGTGCAAGTAGCGTAGTAGATGTTTGACTCTCTTTTGTGAAAGTTCTGTAGGTGCTGTGAGGTCTCGTGCTAGTTCTTTTGTGGAGTATGCAATGTCTGGTCGTGTGTATGCTAACCATTGAAGTTTGCCAACAATTCTTCTGTACCTTTTGTGTTGTTCGTGGTCAAGTAGTGCTTCATCTTCTATTGTTGGTTTGTAGTGTGCAATTCCTGGAGTGTTCACTGAGTTGCAGTTGTTCATTCCAGACTCCTCGATCATGTTGTCGATGTAGGAGTCCTTTAGTCCAAGATTGCAGTAGTTGCCGAAGTGGTCGATGTTTCTTCCAAGAAATTGTTGTGGTTTGCCAGGTTCGAGGTAGCCGATGTGCTTGAGTAGTACCTGCTTCTGGACGGCCTCGAAAGTGGAGTCGACTGCGTCTTGTCTCCAAGTACTAGTAGATCATCCACGTAGACCATGATGTAGCAGTCGCGAGTCGCATTGGTGTAGACGTTAGGTTCTGACTTTAGTCTTACAAAGCTGAGCTTTTGTAACACTTCAGCCAGGTAGTCCTGCCATGCTTTTGGTGAACTGCGTAGTCCATACATGGCTTTCTTTAGTCGCCAGATTTTGTCCTGTTGTGGACAAAGTTCTTTAGGTGGCCAAAGGTAGACGTCACGTTGTTTACCGTCGTGGTCTTTTGCGATGGGTGCGTGTAGAAATGCTGTAGAGACGTCACCTAGTCGCGCGATCCAGTTTGGTCGTGACATTTGTAGTGCGAGAAGTGTCCGGAGTGTCGTGAACATTGGTGTAGAGGCGTAGACGGAGTCTTCGTCCTCGATCTTCTCGGTGTAGCCTTTTGCGACGATTCGGCTTCGTACTCCTGGTCCTTTCTTTCTGTGTACCCATCTTGTAGGTATCGCTTCTCTGATGACGTTGTCGTTGACGGTAGACGCATCTACTTCGTCGTAGACGTCGTGTAGTTTCATTTGGTTTGACTCGTGTTTCATTCCTTCCAGTAGTTGTGTTTCGTCGTAACCTTCGTTGTCGAAGATTATGGGTTGGTCTTCTGAGGTGTCGTCGTTTGTGTAGGGAGTGATGGATTTTCCGTTGGGAAGTGTCACTGCGTTGATTTTCTGTCGTAGTGGTGGTGGTTCTTTGGTTGCTTGTTCCGTTGATCTGATTGTAGTGTCCTTTGAGGTCTTCTGTGCTTTAGTTGGTTGCATTACTTCTTCCGGAGTTAAACGTCGTAGTGTTTGTCGAGGTGGTGCTGGTAGTGGTGGATGTTGTCGTCCAGTTGGTGAAGTAGCCATAGGACTATCCGGTAGTGGTCGTGAACTTGACGTCGATGTGGACGGAAGTCGTGGAGGTGGTGTAGTGCGTTGTTGTTTTGTTGCGGGTTCTGCAACGATGTCGTCCGTCGCGTTCGTTTGTTGTCCGAAATCTTGCGTGGACCTTCTTTTCTCTGACGGTTGTAGTTGCGTATCCAACAGTGTTGCGAACGATGGGTTGTAGGTGTTCCGTCGTGGTGCCCATGGTGTGCCGGAAACTTTGTTCAACAGTGCGAGGTCGTATTTGAAGTCCGGTTGTAGTCTCCGTACTGTTCGTACCTTTTGTACGCCTGATTCCGTTGCGACGTAGTTTTCTCCGGTTTCGGAAACTTTTCCGAGCCAGATGCATTTCTGCATCCGTAGGTCTGCTTTCGGAAGTTTCTTGTGTTGTGGTGGAAGGTAGAGTAGTGTCTCGCCAAATTCGCAGATTGCTCGCTCGTAGTTTCTTCCCCAGCGGCGTTCAAAGCTTGTGTAGCCGTCTGAGTGGATGACGTAGCGATTTACCGTCCATGCTGCATGTCGTACTATCCAAGGTAGTAGACAGTGCTTTGTGGACATCGTCATGCTGTAGTTGCTTTCAACTTGAGCTTTGACGACGCGGATTTGTCCGAGAAGTGTTCTATGTAGTCGCTCAACGCTTCCTTGACTGTTGCTGCTGTAGGAAGGTGAATGTCGTACACTCATTGTGCCGACTTTTGCTGCTGTAGCTTTTAGAAGTGCGTTGAGTGTGTCTTCGTTGTCGCTTTGTAGTATGCCTTGTGTTCTTCCGCACTCAAAGATGAATGCTTGTAGGTTGTTGACCATGTAGTCCATCATTGATGCTTTGTCTGGAACCAATACTGCCATACACAGTTGTGTAGTAACATCAACTGCTGTCAGTACCGGTGTGGTCTTTGGGTCTTGTTGTGACTTGATGTAGGCAAAGTCTACTTGAATGACAGGTTGTCGTGATTGTTGTTTCTTGTAGTTGTCTTGGCGTCCTTTGCCTTGAACGCAAATTGGACACCAGTTTCTGTATGGTAGATGTGTAAGGTTGTGTTCTGCTATTTGTTGTGGAGTGGGCTGCTGTGGTTGTCGTAGTCCTCTTGCTCTGTGTGCTTCATGATGCTCGTGTTGTTGTTCTTCATCGTGGTTCTCCTGGATGTACTCGTAGTCTTTCTTCACGGTGAACCTTGTTGTTCCTTTCCATTGAAATGGTAGTGCTGCGTTGCCCATGACTGTCCAGTCATCTTTGCGTTGTGAAACTTCTCCAAAGTTGTTGTGAGTGATTGTAGTTCTGTGAGGTTCAAGTGTGTTGATTGGTGGATGTCCTGGTCCATCTGTTGGAGTGAAGAGAGTTGTTCTAAGCGTTGTGTGGTGTCGTATCCAGTGTTCACCTTGTCTTTCCCAGTAGTCTTGGTTGTCCTCCTGTGCTGTGAGTGGTCTGTGTATTGTCTCCTTTGGTTGTGTGGTGTCAAGATTTGTAGAAGGTGCTGCTTTAGGTCTCCATATCTTTTGTGGTGCTCGTAATTGGATCTTTGATCTGGTTGGTGGTGTGTCCATTAGCCGTTGTGGTTGTGAGCTCTGCCTTGTTGGTGTGGTCTTTGATGTTGCTCTGCGTGTAGGTGTTATCTTTCTTCTGAATCTGGTTTCTCCAGTCCAGTTGTCACCTTCTAGTCTTCGTTGTAGTTCTTGCTTGGAAAGTTGTGTTGGGTTCTCTTGTAGTTGTTCTTGCTCTTGCCCTTGTCTGTTGATGATGGTTAGTCTCCAATCATCTAGTTCTCCTTCTGGTATTGGGCAGCCACTGTTGTGTGGTGTGAACAGTGCTTTGCGTGGTCGTTTGTGTACTCTGATGGCGTAGTCACCATCAAGTTTCCAGTAGTCAGTGTTTCCACCAAGGATCTGTCGTAGTCCTTGGTCTGTGTGTGTGAGTGGTGCGATTTGTTCTTGTTGTTGTGCTGCTCTCTCTGTAGGTTGAATCACAGCAATGGATTTTCCATTGTCTGTAGTCATTGGGTAGATGTCGAATCCTGTAGGAATGTCGATCTTCTCTGCTCGTAGGTAGAAAAGTCCTGAGTGTCTTATGAGGTGTGCTTGTTGTTGTCCATGTGTGATGGTGCAGTGTCGTGGAGTGAAGTCAAGTCCATATCCTCTATCAAGTAGTCTTGATGCGCTGAGGATTGGATACTTCACATCACAAACGTAGTAGGGTATCATGATCCTGAAGTTGTCCTGCTTGTAGGGAACGTACTTGATGCCGTAGACTGGAATCTTCTTGTTGGTCACCGTGTAGAGTTGTGGAACTGATTCTCCACAGGGTCGTAGTGGAAGATCCGGTGCGTAGTCCTTTGGGCAAACATGTGTAGATGCTCCTGAGTCGATCAACAGGTGGTGGTATGACTTGAAGTTGGAGTACATGATGTAGTGGGTGATAGTGTCCTCAATCTTCTTGTTCCTTTGTTGTTGTCTTGCTGCTGCTATGTCGAAGTGTAGCTTTGTGGTGTCTTCTTGTAGGAATTGTTGAAAGCTCTTGCTGTGGTCGTTCCATGATGTTGTGTGTGTTGTTCTCTTGCCAAGTAGTGATTTGGATTTGTGCTTGTGTAGTCGTGATTTTGCTTGTCTGATGTATCCAATGGTGAGGTGTGACTCGTTGATGCCTCCAATGTAGTTCGCTGTGTCCTCATAGCTGTTGTCATTCCAATCCCAGCTGTTGTCATAGTCGTAGTCGTTCCAGTTCTCCTCCATGTAGTTCACCTCATGTTGTCCTTCTTCTCCTTCGTAGTACCAGTCCCAAGTGTCGTTCACATCCTGAGGTAGTTCATCATTGTTGTCGTGATCTGCTTGTTCTTGTTCTAGTGGATGTAGTTCTTCTCCTTCTCCTATGTGCCATACCGGCACTCTGCAGTCTTGTGCCCAGTGGCCGGGCTTGCCACATCGATGGCAGGTTGTGTAGTTGTTGCTTCCTTTTCCTTTTGATTTGCTGTAGTTTCCTTGGCCTTTGTAGCCTTTGCTTGATCCATATCCTTTGGATCCTGAGTAGCCTTTTCCTTTGCTCTTGTTGTATCCTCCTTTGTTGTAGTTTCCTTTGCTGCCTTTGTCGAATCCTTTGTAGTGTCCTTTACTCCTGTACTTGCCTTTGCTCTTGCTTCCTTTGTAGCCGCCTTTTCCTTTTCCTTTGCCTTTGTAGCTTCTTCCTTTCCTCCATATGTTGTCAACATCCATTGGTGCAGTTCCTCCATTGTAGTTTGTTCCTACTGCTGAAGTAGATCTAGTGAAGGCTGAAATCGTTTTGTAGTAGTCCAGGATGAGTGCTCTGATCTCGATGTAGTTCGTGATCTGTCCAGCTCGCAGTTGGAGGTGTTGCTGCAGTGCTCCTTTGGTTTTGTTGAGTAGTATTGCTATTTTGATTCCATCTGGTAGTGCTGTTCCATTGTCTTTCTCGTAGCGGTTGATGTCGTATTCCCATTGTAGAAATTGTTCTTCAAACTGCGCTTCGTTGAATGTGGGTTCCAGTAGTTTGGTAAGGTAACCAACGCTCCTTGTTCCTACTGGTAGGCTGAACCTGTTGTGCAGTAGTCGTAGTGTTTCACATCCGTTTGCGTTGTAGCGGTTTTGCCTTACTACTGTAGCTGCTGCTCCCTGACAGATGTTGATGAGGATGTAGTGTAGATCTCTGGAGAGGTCTACTGCTTTGCTTGCTTGTGTAGGGTCGAGTATGTGTGTTCTGATGTCTGTGTCCTCAATCTGTCGTGTAGCCACTTGTGCTAGTTGTAGCACCAGGTCGAAGTCTCGGTCTATGAGGCCGAGGTATGCTTGTAGCTTGAACAGCCATTCTTCATACTGGGAGTAGTCACCAGTGAAGAAGGGTGGTGGCAGTTTGTATCTATGTAGTCTCTGAACGTCGTTGTCTTGTTCTGTTCCTGCTCCCGTAGTCGTGGCTCCTACTGTGTCTGCTGTTGGCCCGTTCTCTGCTCCTGTAGTTTGTTGTGCTGAGGCTGATGCTGCTTCTCCTGACATGTCGTAGTAGTTTGGCATGTAGCTGCTGTTGCTGTTGTTGTAGTACTTACTGCTTACTGGAGCTCCCCTATGTTTAGGATCTCAGCTCCGCTACCACGTTAAAATCGGTGGTTACTTTGCTTACAAGTGCAAGTGCTGTAGTGTTCAAACAAACAGTCAACCAATGTAGTCTGCAGCTGCCAACCTTTTGACTCATGCGGAGTAGTAAGCTCAAGGCCTGCGGTAGTGAACATACATGCAACAAGAGTGCAAAGTGAAGCATGTAGTTTGACATCTTTGTCACTGACTGCGCAGAAACAATCCATGTCATCCCAACTGTGGATGGCTGCGCGGCTTCCGCGAAGCACTGATGCACTTCCTGTCTGGGATGCCAGGCCAAGCAGCTGCCCACTTCGTAGATCCTGGACATATCAGACTGTTGACACTCAAATTGTTGCCTCTCATTGGCCAAATCGGGCTGTGTTCTTGCTTGAGCTCACGCCTCTTTGCGTTGATATGTTTCGGCGGACCAAACTCGTTGCCGCGTGCACACAGGCAAAGATCGGCCAGGATCCCGGGTGCATGCGCACAAGCGCAGAAACACACCACACACCCACTGCGCGCGTACAAGCACAGAGCCATGTGACGCAGGCGACGGCCGGCCAGGACCCCATGGCACGCAAACGCCAACGCACGACTGCAAGCGCGCAGTTAGCATCTTTGCTTCTTCATGGTTTTACGTCTGTCGCTCCCCACTTGTTCGCTGGCGGATGCTTCTTTGCTACCAACTATGTGCTGCAAACCACGTCTGTGAGACCAACATCAAGAAGTCTCTTCCACGCATGCCTTCGATGAGGAGTACGCCCGCTTGCTGAAAGTTTGACTTTAGACAATTCTTGCTGACAACAACTAGCTCCCTCCCTCACTTCGCACCCCTAGCTCGGGTTATCTTCTCTTGCTGGCTCCCTGGCCCCCGCTTGACTGACAAGTTCTGCTTGGCGTGTTCCTGCGAACCCAATGTCCCTCATGTGCTCAAGGCAGCCAACTGAGGGCAGCGAGGCCGACCTTGATACAACCACTACATGGGGAATCGGATGGTTGGCGACAGTCCTTGCAAGCCGCCAGCTTAACGGCGCCGACTACCTCACTCGCATCTCCAAACCGGAACAAACAAATGCTAACTGCGAAGCTGGCAATAATACTACTCTGTCCTTGGGCTACCGTAATTCAGCAGGTCTTCGTTGCCCAGCGCACGGGGATCCACCCATATAGGGCTGTCGTCTTGTTTGATTCAAAGCGACAAAATCTAGAACTCCTTCATGGTCAAAACTCGCAATGCAGGGATCAAGTCTGAGAATATGCGACCCAAGCTTGTGGTCTGGTGAGCTCGCTGCGCGGCAGGGCAACAGGAAAATTGCAGTTTGTGTGCCGAAGGGCCCTGAGAATGAGAGATCACTCGTCTTGGTACAAATCGACAAAAAGGCTACCAAAAAAGCTTGAGAATTGACACGGGGGCTGAGGAGTACTTTCACTTTCAAACAACTTAAGTCTTGCTCAAAGAAGAACACAAGTAATCAAGTAACAGCCGCTCCTCGTACTGTGCAAGAAAGCAAATTGTGCACTTCAGTTTTAGCATGGGTGAAGATTGGAAAACAGGAGGGGTTGTGGGACATGAAACTTCAGTTGAGTGATGATGGAAGGCTACCAATTCGCACAAGAGTTTGTCTCAAAATAGGGAACCCGCTTTTTTCGGTGGTTTCCTTTTGGCTTCCCCCCTCCAAAAAAACAAGTCAACAGCCCAAAAAATTGGGTTCCTTCAAAAAGAGACACCTCCGTGAGATGCTACCTTTCCCTTTCCAGGCTCTTCCATCCGAAGGTGCGGTCTCGGCTGCGCCGGTCCCTGCTGCGCCGCTCCCGGCGCTCGCTGCGCCGGTCGCCTGCGCTTTTTGGCCCAGGGTTGGGGCAAAAACCAAACCCGTCTTGGGCCGATTTGAAACGGAACCCATGCCAGCTAGGTCAGTTTGGTTGAACAATTTTGGCTGCAGTCTGTTTGAACAATCCTGGCTTAAATGAATCCCAACCCTGTCCAGAGAGGCTTTTCAGAAAAACTTGGAGGGCCTGGCTTGAAGGATGTGGCGGGGCGTGCAGTAAAACCGTGATGCGACCCTGGTAGAGAAAGGAAACCCTGTTTCGTGTTGTCATTTCCTGGCAGGGAGCCCAAAGGAGAGAAAATGATGGACTACACTGAGCAACTGTCTGAGAGGTGAACGCTTGCCAAACGCTTGAAAACCAGAAAGGCCTGAACCAGTTAATACCTAAGCTAGTAGCCATGGTGAAAATCTACTTGGTACGTCCCCGTTCAGTTGCTATAGCCATTTGCTAACCACTGAAGCACCCTGCCCTTCCAGGTTGCATTGACAAGTTGGCGAAGCCGAGGGGCCCGGAGATCATGGGCTGGTTGGTCTGTCTATCCTGCCTGACAGCCCAGCGCAGCCTCAGGCCAGCTAGTCCGAGCCAAGCCTGTCTTGCCTAGTCCATAAACAAACAAATGACCATACATTAATACATGCACATTACACATGTATGTATACATATACATGTATACATGTATATTTTTCTATATTCTGTAAACGCTATGTGTCTAAAGGTCTCCCCTCCTGTTTCGGGGTAACATTTTGTTGGACGCATTTGCCCTGCCCCGCGCTTGGGCCTCGGTTCCGTCGGGAGTCTCCGCTCCCGCTGCGGTCGCGCCTGACATGCAAAACCACCTCAAGATACGGGGAGACGACACTTGCGAGAGTAGCAGGTTTCTTTTGATCTTCCTCACTGTTCTCTTTTTGGTTTTCCTTTGGGTTCCCGTTGGCTATCTTTTGGGAATGTATTAGTTTTCCTTTTTGCATTCCTTCGTTTTTCCTTTGGTCATCTTTTGGTTTTCCTTGGGTCTTCCCTTGGTCTTTGGTTTTTCCTGTTTATCTTTTCTCCTTTGTTTTCCATTGGTTGCCTTTTGGAATCTTTGGGCTATCCTTTTTTGCTTTTTTTGGCTTTCCTTTGGCTAACTGTTGGTTTTCCTTTGGTTTTCCCTTGCTTTCCCTTCACCTTTTGGTTTTCCTTTCGCTAACGCTTTCTTTCAGTTTTCTTTTGGCCGTTTGTCTTTGGAATTGTTTTTGTTTTTCTTCGGTTTTCCTTTGATTATCTATTGGCTTTCCTTTGCCCTTTTCACCGATAAGCACGGCCTCCAAAATGGGTTGGCCTTCAACATCGCGGCATGTTTTGAAGCAAGGAGGAAACCAACTGTTAGAGAAGGCTGGCTTTGGGATGCCGAGCTTCGGCCTTTCAAGAGCTCAGGGAGAAAGCCGAAAGCCCGGCAGCTGAACAGAGGCCACTGCGAGCGTTCGAGGGTTGATCATGGCACTGGTTTGACTCAGTCCAGAAAACTTAGGGCTTTCTACTCGGGGATTTCCGGGTTGCGCAAGCAATGCGAAACATCGAGCCAACTCAAGAACTGTGAAGCTTCACACGCCTTGAGGCTCCCCGTGATGAATCCCAAACTCTTATTTTGCAACATCCCCGCAAGGCCGCAACGTAGGCTGTGAATTGACTTCGCCCATCTGAGTGCCAGCCAAGGGCCATGGCTCATGTCTCCATTGGTCCCGCCGAATACTTCAATGCCAGTTGCGCGCTCAATTTTTTGGATCATCCAATTCGAACGCCCACTTCGGACGCAAAGCGCTTCCGTGGCCCACAGGAGGCGCTTCTTGGATGCAAGCTGCTCGCCAAGAAATGGAACCAAACACAACCAGCTTCTGGATTTTCCTTTTGCTTCCAGAATCTTCATGGCTCCAAAAGGATGGGCTTCACATGTTTGAGCCTACGAGGAAGGCACCCGAGCTTGGAGAGGTTAAATCGGCGCGGCTACTTCGCAGGCGCGCAAAGGGGGCTCGATGGAGCAAAGGCTTCAGCGGGGAAGCCGGGAAGAGCTCTGAACGCTTTGGCCACCAGTTCTTGACTTCATCTCGAGGGCAACTAGTTCTTGACCTTGATGAAACTTCACCTCAATGCGGGTGATGTCTGTGAGAAGCTGCAAAAAAGAAGTCTTTCGACGCCTATCTCGATCGATTGCAGGCTTCCCTTCGGCGTGCTGCATGGCCGGCAAATGTGCCCAGGGGGCGTTTGCGGATCCGCATTCGGATGAGCCTCTTCGCGGGCGGAAACCGCGCAAATGGTGGGATCGTGGTAGCGTTGGCTCCTGAAAAATGCCCCGAGTTTAGCTTAGCTACTGAACATCGCCAAGCAAATCAGAGGTTGGTTGTTATGAAGTGGGGGACTTATCTGTGTTAGTGGTTAGCTCTTCTGACTGGTACGGTCATCCTTTGGGGTTGTTCCTTGGTTGAGTTCAAATGGGTCTCCGCCAAAGAAACAGACAAGACAGAAAGGGGTTAGGGGATGTGTGTGTGTGTGTGTGCGCGTTTCCCTACTGGTTTGCTGCTCAAACAAATCTGTGGAAGTCAGGGCCATGGTTGCGGGAAACCCTTGTGATGCCTGTTTGGGGGGGGGGGAAATCCCATGACTACTTCAAAGGGGGAGGCTCTGGGCCACTGAAAACCCCCCATGTCCCAGAACCGTCAGTTTTAGGGGTCATATTCCCATCTAAGAAGAGAAACCATGCAGGGCTGATTGGTGGAAAAGACAAACTCCCAGCCCAACTTGAGCCACCATCTTTGCTGAAGCCGTTTTGACCTATCATGTTGCTGGATTGCTGTTGGTTTACTTTTTGGTCGTCACAACACTGCTCGGAATCCATAGCCCGAAGAACGCGCTCTCAGATGGGCTGCAGGGCGTCCACAGCGAATGCCTTTCCGAGGTTCCCAGCGGCTGGCTAGGGAAACGTGTGGCTTCGTGCTTTGTTTTGGGCCTACCTTGGGATTGAAGGGAAGCCAAACGGAAATGACACCTTTTCTTTGGTTCCAAAAGGAAACCGCATTTCAGGGTTCCGTATGGTTGAGGCTCCGAACTGCAATGGAGGCGACTTTTGAACATTGGGACATGTACCAACTAACAAGGGCCCGCTTGAACTCAGTTGCCCAAAAACCTGGAAATAGAAGGTGATAAGCTTTGAGACTGTTGACTCAATATGGAGTGGCTCGTCAGAAATATGAGCTCTGGGGGTTGGGCAAAAAGGAAAAGTGTGGCAAACAGTGAAGCGCCAATCCCTGGGAAAATGACAATGATAGCAAAATTGCAGGAGGCAAAAGCAAGCTTTTCTTGCTTTTTGCACGGGCAATCCCAGGGTGCAACTTTGATAGGCAGGCTTGTCTAATGCTCCAAGGTCCGTAGCCGTAGGTCTATGATTTCATTGCCGGACAGCACATGCAAATGCTGACGACCCAACGATCTAATTCAAAGCGCGCCTTTGCGCGCGCCTCTTGAACGAATCCTCCCTCCGTCAATGTCTCGGATGTCCCCGCGTAGCTTAAACTTGCTTCGATTTCTCGGCCCTTCATGGGTCCGACACATTCAAAGGTTGGAGTAGAAATTATTGCGCCGACAGGAACACAACCAAAGAAACATCTATCACCTCGAACTCCAACCAAATCCCAAACAGCCAGGGTGGAATCAATTCCATTCACAAACCTCAACTAAGGGGCCAATGAGGCCCCCTGGAAAGACACCTGCATCGTGGCCGAGGTCACGCAATACTTTACTGCGTATTAACGAACGGTTATGAATGGTTGGTCTTCAGCGTCGCTTTGTGGGCCACCTGTGCGTAAATTTCCCTCGGGGGTGTTGAAAGGTTCCTGCCAAAGACTAACATGGAGTGTCAAAGCGTACCCTGCGTGTCCCTGCAGGTCCTTAGAACTGCGTGCATAGTTGGGGAAGGGTGCTGGGCAGGGGTAACTCTAATAAATGGGTGTTTTTTTGTTTTTTTTGGGGGGGGGGGCGGGGGTTTGGTTGAAAAGGACACCAACCAGAAACTACGCATTTTGGAGGGGCCCCCTAGACACACATAAATTCTCAACATGAAACTTGAGATGCACCCGTCTACAGGGTTCACTAGACTTTTTCAAATCAAAAGGTTGATCAACCTACTGGTCCCATGCCTCCAGGAATTGGCTGGGCCGGGCGGTCTGCTGGCACCAAGGGCCAAAGTGGTCCCCAGCCAGCAGCCATGAGTCCTGCGTTGGCGCAATGCGCCAAAAGGAAACCCGAGGGCCCATTTTGCAGAGGTCTCCAAGAAGTCTTCAAAAAAAAGACGCATATTTCTTTCAACTTGCCTGAAACGTGGTAAACCACCCAAGAAAAGTCAGTGATGAAGGACGACCTGTCTTGGGGTTGGGGTGGCTTTCAGGACAAAGCAACATATGGGAGGCCCGCGACAGGCGCATGAACAAATATACAACTTCATGTAATCCGCCGACCCCTTTCTCGAAAGGGGAGGCGCATGGGAAGGGCTTGTATTCGTCCTTGTCTTCGTGATGTTTATCAGCACCACTGATGTTGGGTGATGGGTTCGCAGCATCCAAATCATCAGCATTCTACGTTTCAAGCTTGCCGTTCAACCCGGCTTGGAATGCAGTGATGCATTTTAGTCATGATTGTTATGACAGCTGCTGCTCATGCAGGGGATGCATAGTGATGATTGTCATCAGGATATCATCACGGTAACTGCTGGTGATGCTGGAGATGCGTAGTGATGATCATCAGGATCATCATGATCATCATGAGCGACGCTGCATCTGATCATCATCATCACTCTTCTCATCATCATGCTGGTCATCATCATCTCTTTCTTGTTCTTATGTGCATTTCAAAAGTAACGTTAGATAGCATTGGCAATGCAGAGGATGCTACGATGATAGTCCTCATCCTTATCATCATTATCATCATGGTCATCATCATCATCTCTTACTAGCCGTCCTCATCCTCCTCATCATTATCATCACGGTCATCATCATCTCTTATTAGCCGGCACTGGTGATGCCGAGGATGCCACGATGATAGTTATCATAACAGTCCTCATCCTTATCATCATTATCATCACGGCCATCATCATCTCTCATTATCCGGCACTGGCGATGCCGAGGATGCTACGATGATAGTTATCATCACAGTCCTCATCCTTGTCATCATTATCATCACGGTCATCATCATCTCTTATTATGCAGCACTGGTGATGCAAAGGATGCTACGATGATAGTTATCATCACACTATCATGCGGATGGTCGTCAAAGTAACGTTAGACAGCATTGGCAATGCAAAGGATGCTACGATGATAGTTTTCATCACAGGCCTCATCCTTATCATCATTGTCATCACGGTCATCATCATCTCTTATTAGGCAGCACTGGTGATGCAAAGGATGCTACGATGATAGTTATCATCACAATCATCATCATGATCATCCTCACCATGATCATGATGACGGTCGTCATCATCATCATCATCACCCTTCTCATCATCATCATGATAGCCACCACCATCTCTTTCTTGTTCTTATATGCATTTCAAAAGTAACGTTAGACAGCATTGGCAATGCAGAGGATGCTACGATGATAATTATCATCACAGTCCTCATCCTTATTACTATTATAATTACTGGTGATGCAAAGGATGCTACGATGATAGTTATCATCACAGTCATCATCACGATCTTCCTCATCATCATCATGATGATGGTCGTCATCAGCATCATCACTCTTCTCATCCTGATGGTCATCATCATCTCTTTCTTACTTTCTTATATGCATTTCAA